ACTATTCAAGTAGTTATTAATATTTATCTTTTATTTTTCTTTGGCTTAAAAGTGTTAGATTTTTTTAAAAAAATTTAAATTCTCAATGACTAATTTTTTTTTTTTTTGTTTGTTTGTTTTTTTTTTTTTTGTATAAATTAATTCTTTAATAGTTTTTATTTCTTCATTAAGTTGCTTGCAAAAATTTAAAAAAAAAAAGTTTTTTCATTTTATTCATTATGTTGAAAATACAAAAAATAAAAAGAATAGTACAGATTTTGTATAATTATATTTTTATTTTATTTGTTTATAAATTTTGTTCACATATATTTTAGATGCTTTATACGTAGTATAGATAGATGTGGATTTTACAATACAAATTTGAATTTAAATTATATAGATTATTATTCTAATTATAAATTTATTCTTTTTATATAAATTTTTTGTAAACATTTTAAATATATGAAATAAAATTGGATTAATTACTTAAAAGTCCTAATGATAGTAGGTGTGGAAGCTCAAGTCCTGTGCAATAGTTTTTGGACACACAAGTCCCATTTTGGAATGCAATTGACGTTCATGCCCTTTTCAATCTAACAGATTACAGATGCAACTTCAGAGAAAGAAGAGGACTTGGAACGTCCTTAAGAAATTTTATGAGTAGGAGAAGGAGCATAGTCTGCATCTTCATGGATCTTTTCAAACACTTGATGATGATGATCGTTTGGATTATCCAAAGATTTTTAAGTTGGAGGTTTGTGATGCCTCAACCTTTTACACTTTCGTTTCGATCTATTCTCTTCTTTGATCACTTCAATTTGCAGCACTTTGTTGTGTGTGTGTGTGTGTGTGTAATTCCAGCCCTTAAAATGTTTGATTGCTCAATTTTAGGGTTTAGAACAGAGCATATTAAATCGACTAAAGAGATGGACCAGGAGATCTGGTTTGTAGGTAAGAACTGAGATATTCTCAGTTTCAAAACTGAGAATGTTCTCAATTTAAAATTGAGAATGATTTCAGATTGCAAAAATATCCAATAAAATTGAGAAATTTTTCAATTTTTTTTAGTGTTAAAATTGAGAATATTATCATTTTCCAGTTTTAGACTGATAATATTCTCAATTTTAAAACTAGAAAAAATTGAGAAAATTCTCAGTTTTACACAACCATTTTTTATGAAAATTTCTTAGTTTTTGCACACCCATTGAAAATCGCACAGTGAGAATGAACTACCTCTTTCAGGGAAGAAGTGATCTTGGAGCTGTAGTTTAATGTGATCGAGTCCCACTCATTTAAAGGACAAACCCAGTTGAACCTAGAATCATCATTTTTCACCAAGCTCTCGTAGTCACCAATGGCGGATGATGAGGGATTAGGTCTGAAACCACATCATCCATGATGAGGATGAACTTAAGATGTTGTATATTTGGTGGGTACAAAGAGAGAGCTTCGAGGACTAGTGATCAAATATGGAAAACAAGAAGATGAGCTTTGATTTGGCATGGTAGAGGAGAACGAAGATGGTGTGGGAGTCGAGGCATGTGTTGACGGTGTGATAGATAAGGAGAGAACCAAAGTCAAAAAGCTTAGGCTCCATCTTTTTATATGTGAGAGAGAGTCTGAAACTAAAAAAAGAGAGAAAAAACAAATAAGAGAAAAGGGGATGTTTGCTTGTTATTATTGGGAAGTGGCTGTAAAAGTAAGAGAGAGAGAATAAACACAACAACTTACTTTCACACCAAGCATGCAATTAGACATCTGGCAGTGATGAAGTATGCCTTAGAAGGGTAAATTAAGGGTAAATTGGTCTATTAAAAATTAATGGGACTTGAAGGAGCAAATAATCTTATTTAGGACTTAATGGATTATAAGTTCACAATATAGGGCTTGTATGTAAATGCCCCAATAAAATTTTTACGACTTTATGTTTTTTAGAAGAAAAGTTCATTGCTTCTTTTTGCACATTAATTTAACAGGTTAATAAAAAAGTCAGAAAAAGAAAACAAAAAAGGGAATTTTTTTTTTATTCATTGTGTTTTCAATTTTTTTTTTCTTTCTATCTTTCTTCAAAACGTAGGCAAACTGCTTTTCAATTTTTAAGCTGTTTCCAAAAAAATACTATTCCAAACTTTTCAAAAAAAGAATGAGGATGTTCTTAAACACAAATAGTAATAATAATAAAAAAACAAAAAATTCCCTTAATTTTTGGGGGTTTTTTTTAAGGTCCCTGGTATTATGATTTTATAGCATAAAGGACACTTAATATTTTCATAATATCTAAGATCCCTCAACATCAATTCAGAGAAAATTCGATCCAGAGAATTTCTCTAGACACATTACAAAGAAAATTCCAAATTTCTCTAAGCTTTTGTGAATTTCTCTAGACTAGAAGGGAATTTTCACTGACTTTTTGTGAATTTCTCTGGGTTAGAAGGTAATTTCTCTGGACTAAGAGAATCTCTCTGAGGCAGTTTATCAAATCAATAGAACAGCAGATTCAACTCTACCTATTTCGTCATAGAGAAAATCTCAACAAAGTGATTTTTTAGAGAAATTTTGAAAATTTCTCTAACCTTCCCCTAACCTTCTCACTCTCCAGAGAAATTTTAGAAATTTCTCTGACCTTCCCTCTCTCTCCAGAGACATTCCCCCTTCTATTTACAAAAACAAACAAGGGACAGAAAAATTACTTTCTTCGTCGTCTTTTTCTTGGAGGATCTGTGTTTTCACTTCTTCAAACAAAAGGGGCACAAATGTTGCCAGATAGTCATTAACATCTTTGTATGTATTCTTCACTTCCCTCAATCCCAAACCACTTCCGTCCTCAATGTTCTTGCTATTTTTTTGCTTCAAAACAAATCGCGTGAATTTAACGCATTGAAATTTCAATAATCACATGAATCGAAACATTAACATTTAAAAATCATACATAGACAAATATATATATATATGTATATATGTATATACAGAGAGAGAGAGTGTGTATGTATGTAATTACTCCGGAATGTTGGATGAGGCGTAGATAATCCCAACTGAGAACTATTTTGTAGAAGCGAAGAACACTTGCTTCTTCTTCGAGCTTGTTCTTGTCCACGACCATCTCACCTCCTTCCCCACAGAGAGAGAGAGAAGCAAGCAGAGCAGGGTTTAACCTTGCAATGAATTGGAGGAGAAAGTGATATCGAAGAAGAAGGTTGAGTTTGGGGATTTGGAAGAGTGGAAGAGAGCAGCGAGAGAGACACGCATAGCGTGAGATATATATCAAATTTCTCTGTGATAGATAGGAGGGACCTTAGACATCAAAAAATAATATTATGGATTTCTTCCATTACTAAAAATGGGAGAGGGACTTTAGACTAATTTTCCCTAATTTTTTTTATAGCTGACAATAGTAAGTTGAAAATATATTATGAAAATTTACTTATTTTTTTTTAAAAAAAAAGAATGAGAAAGAAACAGATATTTAGAAAAAAATTTAAATTTTAATATTTGATAGGATATATATACACACTCATATATATTTTGAAAGTTAATAAAGAAGTCAGAAAAAGAAAACAAAAAAGGTAATAATTTTTTTTCCCTTTCCATCTTTCTTTAAAACGTAAGCAATTTTTCAGAAAACACTTTTCAAAAAATTCTACATTCTTCTTTTCCGTGTTTTTTTGTTTTTACTGAATTTTTTTAATAGTTTAAGTAATTTTTTTACTTTTTAGACATACCTAACATAAATACACTTAAAAAATAAAAAAATTGTAAAAAAAATCTTTTAAAAATTCACTAAATACCAAAAATACAAAAAAAAATACAAGAATTCAGTACATTTTTTATATTTTTATGTATTTATTAATTTTTTAAAATATTTTTTCACAAATTTTTTACTTTTTAGATACATCTAACTAAGGTGCAACTAAAAAAATAAAAACAAATGTTTAAATTTTAAAAATATTCACTAAAAACAAAAGAATACGAAAACCAAAAAACTCAGTTTTCAAAAAATTTAATTCAGAAAATTCAGACCAAACACAATAGTATTTTCAACTTTTCAAAAAAAAATTGCTCATACACACACACAAAAATAATAAAAAAAATAAAATAATAATGAGGATGCATTAAAAAAATGAATATATAAATTTAAAAAAAAAACAAATTGAATATAAAAATAATATTGGCCAAACTCAATATTCTTAATTAAATACATCCTCAATCTTAACTCAAAGAGATTTGATAAATAAGGGAAAAAAAATAAATTAAAAAAGTTAAAAACTCAAATAAAAAAAAAAAACTCAAAGATAATGCAAAAGTATATGAGAGTGTGTGCGTATATACCATATCAAATTCAGAAAAAGTTATGTGATTGGATATATAAATTAAAAAAATATATATTTGAATGAGGATGCATTAAAAATTTTACCAATTGAATGTAATTTTCCTTAGTTCAATTTTTATCAACTCAATCGCATAACTTTTTTCTGAATTTGCACACGCAGCATGTATGCCTCGACTGCTAGTAGTAAATTAAACTAACCTTCTTTAAGATTTAGAGACAATACAACACATTTTATAATTTTGACATAATTATATCAAAAAAAAATTATAAGTTTAAAGAGATCAAAATTAATAGAGTTGATGCAAAAATATAAAAATATAAAATATTTTAGTGTAAGAGGCAACCTTATTTTTTCATTCATATAAACTAGGAAAATGATATATAAGTTGACTTTCTAGACTTAATTATGTGTAAAAAAAATAATTTACTAATGATTAAAAAATATATAAAAGAAAGAGTTGCTTTGAATATTTTAATAGATTGTCAAATTAATAAATTTAAAAAGAGCGTCTAATTTTTAGACTATAATAATAATGCCCTATAAACAAAGAAAATTTAAATATTATGTCAAATAAATTTTTTAAAAAAATTTAATTCAATTATGTCAAAGGTGTGAATGGTAATGTATTTGGTAAAAAAAAAAAAATCGTAACTGCTCCAACTGCTAAGGTCTATGTATATGGAATAATTTATGTAAACGATCGATTCGTAACAGAACAAACGATTTCGGAAAACACAACGTGTGGGAAAGGTCATCGGCAGAGAGGAGCATCCACTGCTAGTATATACTCTGTATATTTGTTCACCTTCTTACCAGACAAAGAACTACACGACCCAATTGTCCAATTTTCTCTCTCTGTTTATATCTATCTATAGAATAGATATCTATACACACACATATATATTGCGATTTGTGAATTAGGGTTTGTGTTAATTTTGATCTGAAGAGAGAAATGGAGGTAGTGGATCATTTAGCTGAGGAGAGGAGTAAGGCAGAGTTTGATGTTGAAGCCATGAAGATCGTCTGGGCTGGTTCTCCACAAGCCCTCGAAGTCTCCGATCGCATTTCCAAGCTCGTCGCTAGCGATCCTGTGACTCTCTCTCTATCTCTCCCTAAAATTTCTTGGGCAAATTATATGAATCTAATCTCAATTTAGTCCACTAATTATATCAATTTTGCCCTTTTCAAATTAGACATTAATCCCTCGGTCACTTTGAAAAGAGAAAATGTGCTATTTTATCCCTTGATTTTGGTTTAATTAATTTACAAAATATGATGTTGAATTAAATTGACACAATGTGAAAATGTAAAATGTAAAATTGATGCAATTAGAGTATCACCAATCGAGATAAAGAGAAATTATAAAGACTGTCCATGTAATTTGTATAAATTTATTTATTATTTTTTTCGTATATTGACGGTGTTGTTGAACTTAGATCGTTTATTGAAAATGCTTACCAGTGCCCCTAGGAATTATGTGAAAAGTGTTTTGGAATTAAGTGAAAATGTTTTTTTTTTTTCAAAAAAAAAAAAAAATCTTGTGTTCGAAATTTGTAAAAATGTCTGTGCCCTTCCTCATTTTTGTCTTTTTCTTGCGGGCAAGGGCACTGATTAGCAAGATCCTTGTTTATCTTATTGGGTTAATCCATCTGTGTTGTTTATTTTGTTTCTCTTTGATGTAGCTTTGAACTGCCTGTTCAATTAGTCAAACTTCTGTTTTGGTTGGAGTACTAATTTGGCGATTCTGTTGGTGAAATGTGTTATTTTGTTGCAAGAAATCAAAATTTGTTGGCTTTGTAATTTTAATATTGATTAGAAGCAATTAGCATTTAATGGGCACACGCTCTATTCACCAAATTCCTATATTGAGGGACTAAGATAATATACTAAAGATATCCACACAAAAAAATTAAAAATTAAAAATTGTTTTGTTATAATTAGATTTTTTTTTTTTTGTGTGTGCATATAATTTAATTTTGGTGCTTTTGTATCCTTAATTATAGTTTTTCATTTTTTTATGAGCATCTTTAGTGGTAATATTGAAGGGATTACTGTTCATGGATTTGTGCAGTTCAATTGACCTAATTTCTCATATGGAACATTGATTAGGCACTTTGATTAGTTAGTTCATTTCAGATGGTCTTTCAGGGTGAGTCCAGCTTTTAATTTTCTACTTTCCTTTAGTTTTAATTAATTAACAATATTTCTTTTCGATTGAGCTAGTGCATTGGACAAGCATGAAAAAAAGCTTAACTGATTAAATGTTATAATTTTTATGCTACAAAAAGCTCAAAAGCCAAAAGGTTGGAATGGGGGACTTGTGCTCAAATTGACCCTCATCCTTTTTGCCTTTTTCTTTTTTTTGAAGAAAAAGATAACTATTGTATGAAAAAGGCGCCAACATAAGGGGGTGCAACCCTATATACCATCATTCTTATTTTTTGAAAATAAAAAATGGTTTTAGAGTCATCGGGATGCTTTGGACCTTATAGAGGCTTGATAGATGAGTTTTACAGAGGACACGGATTAGGTAGGTAGATAGATAGATGGATCAACATGTGCTCGTTGTCTAGAAACGTTACAACCCGCTATTTCTTTGTCCATTTACTACTTTTTTATTTATATGTTTAGGGTTTGGGGAACCCACGTTTAGTGTGACTTGTCAGATATATTGGATCATGAGATTTCTCCGTTTTCTCGCCCGATCATGATATACTCTGTTTTGCCCAAAAGAAAGATTAATTAAATCCCTTAAAATTTGGAGCGTGATGTGCAATTAGATCCCTTTTTGGGAGGAATCATATTAGCATCTGTGTACTGCTTTTATTTTCTGAATTTAATTAACAGTGATATGATTCTTATTCATTGGCACTTTTGGTGGTTTCAGGTATCTAATTTTTATTTTCTCTGCATTGTTTCATGATTTAGGTCTTCCGGAAAGATAACAGACCTATGCTTAGCAGAAAGGATTTGTTTAAAAATACTCTTAGAAAAGCAGCTTATGCATGGAAGAGGATCATTGAGCTCCGCCTTTCTGGTATACCTTCATCTTAGGTTTTCAGATGATTGTCATAAATTTCATTAGCTGATCAGATTTATGGGACTTTTGAATTTTGTCTCATTGTGTAATCTTGGAGCTCAATTTCCATTATTGCAGAAGAAGAGGCAGCTAAGTTAAGGTTTTTTGTCGATCAAACTGCTTTCACTGATCTTCATTGGGTACATTCTAATTCCTAATTTTTGTCGTTTTGTAGTTGTTTGTGGGTCATTTTCTTAAGTACTAGTGTATTGAAGCCAAATTCAGGTGTATTGACATCCTCATACTTTTAACTGATCTTTTAATAACTTGCTTGATAGTTACTAGTTAGTTTTAGGGTTCTTCGGAGTTATAAATTCTTCTTTCATGCTTCAAGGCTTTAAAAATATGAACACATATTTCATCACTCTCACTTATTCTCTTGTTCCCGACTACATCTGTAGGGAATGTTTGTACCTGCTATAAAAGGACAAGGCACTGAGGAGCAGCAACAGAAATGGTTGCCATTGGCATATAAAATGCAAATTATTGGCTGCTATGCGCAAACTGAGCTTGGTCATGGCTCCAATGTACAAGGTCTTGAAACCACTGCAACATTTGATCCCCAAGCGGATGAGTTTATCATTCATAGTCCTACATTGACTTCAAGCAAAGTGAGTGAAATGGTTTATAGGAGTCTTTACTTGATTACTGGGTAAATATACATAATTTATTTAGGATGTGCATAAGATAGCATGGAGAACCAATGCCTACTCGTTATTCATTGTAGGACATCTTAAGTGAAAAACAAGTAATCCTTCTGCATCTGCCTTATATAGTTATCTAGTCTTATGTTCTGTTTATTGTCTATTAAGTGTTTTTATTCATTACCTTCTGTTGCTAGTTTTGATAATTTGTTAAAATTTTCTTCTCTTATTGAACTATCTGATGGTGGGTTCTTATAATTCTTACTTGTACTATTGTGTACAGTGGTGGCCTGGTGGACTGGGTAAAGTGTCCACACATGCTGTTGTTTATGCCCGTCTTATCACAGATGGTCAGGACCATGGAGTGCATGGTAACTACCTTATCCTCTGTTTTTAAGCATGACAAAATCATCTATTTAATTTCATATGCTAAACATCATATTTTTCTCAGAATAACTATTGTGACTTTCTTTTCATTTTTATTTTTTTTTCTTTCAGGTTTTATTGTCCAACTACGGAGCTTGGAAGATCATTCACCTCTTCCTGGCGTAACTGTTGGCGACATTGGAATGAAATTTGGAAATGGAGCATACAACTCCATGGACAACGGGGTCTTAAGATTCGATCATGTGCGTATCCCAAGAGATCAGATGTTGATGAGGTGTGTACTTGACCTTCTATTCTATTTACTTTGCCACACTATTTCTAGAACTAGCTATCTCATTAAAGTTTGGAAGGCTAAATTATTGTATCCAAAGTGATCGTGGTGTGGTATATTTTACATGGAATCAGGCACAAGGTTGTTGTATGTGGGTGTATTTCGGTATCAGTTTCAATAGAGTTAAAAGAACTGAATTTACTCTTCCTTCATACCATTTAAATGATAAATCATAGTCTTCAGTCTTGCTACCATTTGTATATTTGAATATATAGGATGGCTGTCTTAAAGCTTCTCTTAAATGCCTCAGGGTTTCACAGGTTACACGGGAAGGGAAATATATGCAGTCTAACGTTCCCCGACAGCTAGTTTATGGTACTATGGTATATGTCCGACAAACAATTGTAGCCGATGCTTCCTGTGCTTTATCACGGGCAGTTTGTATTGCTACTAGGTATAGTGCTGTTCGTAGACAGTTTGGATCACAGAATGGTGGACCTGAGACCCAGGTAATCAAGAACGTTGAATGGAAGCTATTAAGGAATTTAACTTTCTTTGAAGAATACATTGGTGTGGAGTTCATTAGAAACATTGAACATCATCAGATTTGGCTTTTTTAAACTGTAGAAGAAGCTTTGATTTAGATTTATATTATGCTTTAGTAGCTAGGCTCTTGCAAGTTCTCAAATTTAGTTGAATTGACTACTGTTTTTTCACATTCAAAATAGAATCTAATCATGCATTGTAGTGGGTGTCTGGTTTGGACAACTGGGGTTATTCAATCGACATGATTGTGTCTGAGAATATCCTCCTCTTGGTGAATTTCAGAAATTAGGTCTTGATTGTTGTATCAGCTCTAAAGATATCACTAAATTACTAATTCAGCTCTAGAGATATAACTATATTACTAATTCAGCTCTAAACATATTACTATATTACTAATGCTTTTGTTGCCTGGTTGTTCTATAGGTGATTGATTACAAAACTCAGCAAAGTAGGCTCTTTCCTTTGCTGGCTTCTGCTTATGCTTTCAGATTTGTTGGTGAGTGGTTGAAATGGTTATATATGGATGTGACCCAAAAATTGCAAGCCAACGATTTCTCGACATTGCCTGAGGCTCATGCTTGCACTGCCGGCTTGAAGTCTTTGACTACTTCTGCTACTGCTGTAAGTTAAAACTGACTCTTATTACTATGTGCAAGCGCATGTGTACGTGTGAATGATAGGGGTAGTTCTTGAAAATTTTCATTGATTGATATACTCATGTATATGATTGTTAGTTACTTGAATCTCATAAACTTGCTCCTTGCATTGGTAACTTTATTTTGAAGACATGAGTCTGGTAACATACCAGCATATAGTAGCCCCTGATATTATGAACTCTAGATACCGACTGTAGCCAATTTTCTAAATGAATATGCTATTTCCTTCAGCTTTGACACACTGGTAGGTTTGCTTTTTATTGACCAATGTATGGTAGAATAGATCAGACTTGTATTATTCATCGTCTCTTATTTTTGTTTTCATTATGAATCATCCCACCACTACATGCAGTTAATGGTGGTGTCCTGTAGCATTAGACTTGTACCTATGAAGTGAAGTTCCATATCGCCTGAATACTAAAGTAATATTAAACATATAAGCATGAGGTCACCCTCATCATAATAGCTAGCTTTTGGGGTGAGTTCCATCTAAGACCGTGTATCATGGTATCAGAGCCACAGTACTCAGGGATGGGTAGAGTGCATGTCCCTGACTTGCACACCGCAGGTGCATTACTAAAAATTGTTAAAATAATATTTTTTATGAACGTATCCCCGCCGTACCCGTATCCTAGTTTTTCAAATTTTGTCGTATCGCCGTATCCGTATCGTATCGTATCCGTATCCCGTATCCGTATCCGTGCTTCCTAGGTAGAGTGCATGTCCCTGACTTGCACACCGCAGGTGCTGCCGAATGAGCACGCTAGGCGTGAGGGAGGGTGTGAAGCAAAGTCCCACATCGCCTAAGTATTAAAGTAGTATTAAGCATATAAGTGTGAGGGCACTTTCACCTCTTGAGCTAGCTTTTGGGGTGAGTTCTATCCAAGACCTTGTATCAGTACCAACACACAAAGCATCTATTGATATTTGCCAGCTAATCTTTGTATATCTGGATTTCTTGTTCCTTCCAAATTTTTTAGAATTTTACTCTTGAGATTATTGACTCAAAAACCGCAACCAAGGATGCTCTCATTGATTTATAGGGTTTGATAACTTATCATTATTTTTTTAATTGACTATAACCACATGTTTGATCTTTCATATAAGATGTATTTGCTGTTGGAAAAGTAAAGTGTGTTTTCTTCTTTTGGGAAAATAAATGGTAAGCAGGTCTTGAGGTTGTATTTTGTTTTGTTTTGAGGTGGGTTGGGTTTTTTCTTCTTTGGGAAAATAAATCAAGTGCATTTTGTTGCTTTTTATTGACCAATGTATGTAGCACTAGATTCTTGCAACCTATTTGTAGCATAGACTAACAGGTAATAACAAACTGAACCGTCATAATTTTTTTGCATGAATATTAAACTACTGTAAGCCTTAAAGACGTCAAGTAGTCCAATGGGGGGAAAATATATAAAACAGATTTTTGTTCTATTAAAGATCCTTAATTCTGCACCTAGGGTATGTGTTGTATGGCTGCACTGCCGAGTTTGTTTATTCCATGGGTACCATAATGTGTATACACAGACCATAAGTGAGAAGCACCTACAGCGATTTATTGATTTTTATGCATGTTGTGTTGCATAGCTTACGATAATGACAATAATGCTTGTCAGTATTTCACAACATCTAATGTTTCAATTTTTGTCAACAATAGTTGATTTATAGAATTGCATTACTCTGGAATGCTGCTTAATTTATAACCACCCATGCTCATTGCAGGATGGTATTGAAGAATGCCGGAAATTATGTGGCGGCCATGGCTACCTTTGTAGCAGTGGGCTTCCTGAATTGTTTGCCGTTTACGTCCCAGCCTGTACATATGAAGGAGACAATATTGTGCTGCTTTTACAGGTACATGAATGAGTTATTTATAACCTTCTTCTTAATTGCTTTTATTTCCCTTATGCATTTCACATGGAAGGCTTGCAATAGTAGTCCTATTTGGGCATAAACAAAATTTGCCTTAATGTATTGAAATACTTCAGGAAGTATTCTTACATTTATAAATAATTTAATAGGTAAGGGATTAGTGATATAGTTGTCATTGTCAATAGAACTTCCAGAGTAGTCATAAACAATGTTTTCAAATCGAGAGCCTACATGGGATCATTGGGAGAGTCTCACAAATCGGATTGTAGAAACTGATCGAGGATCGCATGATTCTACTTTCATTACAAAATAAAGGGAAATTTTATTAATAATGATAATGTATGTTAAATATTCTCGTCAAGTTCCTAAATGGAATTCCTCATAAAATGAGACACTTGAAGAAAAAGTTTCTAGTCAAAATTTTGATATTATATTCACACACACACACACACACATGCATATATAAAAAATAAATAATAAGAAAAAAAGTTGGTAGAATCGGGTTTGTAGTGCGATTTTGCACAATTTTGTGACTAGGATGATAGTCACTCTTTAAGATTCTACACGCTTTTAGATCCTAGTGCTATCTAGATCAATTTGCCAAACTGGAGTCATAAAATCGTGAGATCCTACAAATCTGGATCGGTAACCATAAATCATAATTTTGTTTTATAATCTGTGCCTTGCATATAGAATCTGAACCTCATCAATCAGTTGGATGTTAGTTTGAGAAATTGAAATTTTGACTTCTAATTTGCAATTTTTATCTTTGGATAGATGGATTAGGGAGTGATAGAGAATATATGGTTTGAGTCTGCACTTTGGTTGAGATTCAGTCGACCAATCTGCCTAAATAAGGCATAAAATGTCTTGGATTAGGGTGTGCATTTTTGTGGTAATTGCATGCTACTGTTTACTTTTGGAAAATGTGTACAAAAGAATTGTTTTTTTTCCTATTGCACTGATTGCTTCTTCCGATGAGTTCAAGCATTGTATGTAATTGTTTAGGGAACTAGATGTATATTTTATTCATTACTCCTATGTTGACTTGAGTTGGATATAGCTTTAGACCGGCATATACCAGTTGAGCACTAGGGTATTAATATGTGGTTATATCTCTGTGGGGTTCTTCCATCACACTCAATCAGGGATCATTTTGTTCATGTACTTTTCTTCTGTAGGTTGCAAGGTTTCTCATGAAGACTGTTTCTCAGCTGGGGTCTGGAATGAAACCAGTTGGTACAACATCTTACATGGGGCGAGCTGAGCATCTTATGCAATGCCGTTGCGATATTCAAAGAGGTAATTGGTTCTTTTGAGTGCATCGATTATTTCACGTTGTTCAAAGTTTTCAGGTGATTGAAAAAAACAGTGTAAAGGCTCAACCTAACCATGATGATTTGCATCTCTTTTTTTTTTATTGTTGCCTCAATACATTGTTAAACTGTTGAAGCTTAACTTCAGCTTTAAGTGATTTTAGTTTATAGTTTTGGTTAGAAGTTGACACGAGCTAATAAAAGCGCCCAAAACAAAAAAGAAGCAACTATAAGCTGTAACAAAAACACAATCATACTAATTGTATATCTGAACTCCATAAGACATCTTAACGAGTCAGTTTTCAAAGATTTGCATAGTAATCTTTCTCTTCTTTAATGACATGCAGCCGAGGATTGGGAAAAGCCTAGGGCAGTATTGGAGGCATTTGAGGCAAGGGCTGTTAGAATGTCTGTTGCTTGTGCTCAAAATTTAAGCAAGTTTGCAAATTCAGAAGAAGGTATTTCTGCTGTGACAAAAGTCAAATCTTGTATGTTTTGTGCTAAATTTATTTAATCTTTTCTTCCATTCAGGCTTTGCAGAACTCTCAGCTGATTTAGTAGAGGTAGCGGCTGCTCACTGCCAATTAATTGTAGTTTCCAAGTAAGTTGCTTTTACTCTCTCCTCTTCACTGACGGCAAATTGTCTTCTTCACTTTTTTTTTAATTTTTTTTGTGCTTTTTGGTTTTTTGTTGGAAATAAGGAATTTTCATGTTACTCAGGTTCATTGAGAAATTGCAACAAGTCATTCCCGGAAAGGGGATCAAACAACAGTTAGAGATGCTCTGTAACGTCTATGCCCTATTCCTTCTTCACAAGCATCAAGGCGATTTTCTCTCCACTGGCTGCATCACTGCCAAGCAGGCTTCGCTTGCAAATGATCAGCTCAGATCTTTGTATTCCCAGGTTTGCCCTAATGGTTTTCCTTAATTACTCTTGTTAACCCCTACTAGTACTAGATAGGAAAATGCCAATCTGCTTAGACCCTAAACAGAAGTACTAAACAAGAAGTTTTTCCACTAAAAAGGCTAAAAGTAATTAAGTATGTCTGAGATGGTTTATCAATGAAAGTGAAGCGTTTTTAGCAAATTTATGAAAAGACAATTTGACCCTCATACTTTATGAAATTCCACTGTATCCCTATTAGGACTCTGCAATACTCATTAAGGGTAAATATGGTTACTTCTCACCAAAAAGCAAGTTTGAAAATACTAAAGTAACTTTTTAGCAATTAGTGAACTGTATCAATTTTTTTAGATTCTAAAAAAATTAAAAAACTACTAAAAAGGCAATTGCCAAACCTTATTTGCTTACTAGCTTCAAACTCATGTTTTGTTTTTAGGTTCGTCCAAATGCAATCGCTCTTGTTGATGCATTTAATTACTCAGACCACTACCTTGGCTCAATTCTTGGCTGCTATGATGGAAATGTATATCCAAAACTGTACGAGGCAGCGTGGATGGATCCTCTGAATGAGTCAGTCGTGCCTGATGGCTACCATGAATATATCCAGCCTATGCTGAAACAACAGCTCCGTGGTGCGAGACTTTGAAGGAACTTCTTTCATTCTCCATACATTTTTGAAAATTTTAATTTTCCTGTGTTACTATTTGCTACCGCCGATACTGAATAAATTTTGACATTTTTGTTGATAATTATTATTGCTTGCCTTGAATGAAGTTAACTTGAGGCAGGAGAATAATATTTATTTGTATGCGGGCGAACTCCCAGCATAGGTTTTACGTTATGCACCATCTTAATTATTCCATCATTTAATTTGACGAAATTATGATCCAAATTCAACCACATTGTTTTGTATAATTCTGATCTGCGTCCTTTTAGCACTCCCTATTTTCAACAAATTATGGGGATTAACATTAAATTTGTGGGCTTATTGAGCCAATGTAATTTAGCCTTGTTTTTAGCTAATAGAGTAGATTTCTCCGGAACAATAAAACAGATTTATTTGTATTTATTTGGTCAAAAGCTCATTTAAAATTAATTTATTATGTAAATAAGTTATATTTAAAAAAATATTAAAAAAAAGGTCTTGTTGAAAAACGGACTCATTAAATTTTGCAGCTCCACTCATTGAAAGATTTGTATGCAAATGGCTTGTAATGTCATGACCAACAAACCAAATCAAACTAAAAGCTACAAGCCTCACTACAAGAAAAATCACCTTTGGCGACTAAATTTTTAGTCGCCAAAGGTCCATTTTTAGTCGCTAAAACTCAAGTTTTTGGTTTCCCTGACAAAAATTTTTAGTCGCTGCCTTTGTCGCCAATAAATGGTCGCGGGAGGTATTGGCGACTAAACCTGTTTTAGTCGGCAAAAAGGAGCCCTTTTAGTGACCAATAATTTAGTCGCCAATAGTGTTTTACACTTTTGAAAATCATACATTTACCGACTAATAATTTAGTCGCCAATACTCAATCAAACGCCGACTTTTTTAGTCGTCGAAGGTGTTTCCTTTCGAACCGCAGCCGTCCAACATTCCAAACCTTTAACAACACACTCCCTCCACTATGCCACTACACATCACATGAATATATATGAAATATATATTATTTATATAGTATATTGTCCAATATTAATACAAAACAATATTTATAAATATAATTATTTTTATTCAAATATAATTTATGTAAAAAATAAATGATTTATTAAAAAAAATTTAATCTCACTTTTGGCGACTAAATCCATTATTTAGTCGCCAATTCTACAATTTTAGGCTACTAATTAATTTTGCAGTCGCTAAAAAAAAATGTTGCGCCTAAAAACACACCTTTTGGCGACTAAACCTGTTTTTAGTCGCCAAAAACGTCCCCTTTTGGCTACTAAACTGAATTTTAGTCGCCAATACTCAGTTTTTAGCTACTAATTTTTTTTTGTAGCCAAAAACCTGCACATTCAGCGACTAACCTGTTTTTTAGTCGCTAAAACCAGCACCTTTGGCTTCTAAATTGTTTTAGTCGGCAAAAACCATCACTTTTGGCGACGAAAATTGTGTTAGTCGCTGAAACCCATATAATGGGATTAGCTATATAATTTTTTTTGTTTTTCATCCAACTGTATCAAAGATCATTTGGTTAATCAAATTAAAGAAATTTAAACACATTTTATAATATAAATAAATCATATTTAAACACTTTTTTTTATTCTTATTAATTTTTTAAACTTGACTATAGTCTAAAGTTATATGAAACGCTATTAATTTTTTATTCTTATTAAGGCTATTTAGTTTGGTTTTTAGAATTTATTTTTGAATTTTTTTTAAAAGTAATCATAATTTGAAAAAAAAAAAATACTTATCATTCTAATATTTTTTTATCTTTTGGGAGGGTAAATTTTTTTTTAAATTAAAAAAATATTTTTTGATATTTATTTTTGTCAAACTAATTTTCAATTTAAAAAAAAATAATCTAAAATTTCAAAAAATCAAACCAACCGTGACATAAACTATTAAAATTCGATTTCATTGAAGTTTGTCTAAAGTCAGTTCAAAAAAAGTGTGGAGAAACGTTGGGTCAGGCCAAGTTGGGCCAGGTTTGGACAGAGCTAAAACTATATAGGGGGAGTTACGGGCCGGTACTATGAACCGGTCTTATTACCCAATAGGTCCTACCCAAAAAAATCAAACAATGTTTTCCATTTTTACCCCTAAACTCAACACTGTAACTCAAAATTTTCAGTGATAAATTCACAAAAACAAACTTATCACTGGTTTAAACAAATTTGTCAATGATTTATCACTAGTTTAAACAAATTTATCACTAGTTTAAATAGATTTATCACTAGGATCTTCCTCCAATATACACATGGAGAGAGAGAGAAAGAGAAGACCCGGCGGCAAAGAGCCTAGATCCTAGATCTAGAGGTGGAGGCAACAACGACTATGGAGATCGAGGCGGAAGTAGTCGGCAACGATGGTGGAAGTGGAAGCGAAGACGTTGGTGACGGTAGAGGCGAAGACATCGATGGAAGTGGAAGCAACAGTGAAAGTGGAAAAAGATACCGATTGAGGTCGTCGGCAATGATGACAGTAGAGGCGGCTGTGGTCGGCAACAGTGGAGATGGCGATGGTCATTGATGGAGGAATGTGTAGAGAGAGACAGAGAGAGTTTCTTTTTTTTTCATTTTTCACTTTTCACCTCACAGATCTGTGTATAAAACATGAGGACAAAAATGAAATAAACAAAAATGTTCAGGACCTATAGTTAAACGAGTCTCCATTATGGACCTAGTGGATAATAACCCTTGAAAATAGGATTGGCCTGTAAAAATCCCAACTATATAATAAAAGATTTTCTGTCTACCCAAGCTCCACCCGACCCTAACATTGGGCCTCTATATCTACCCAAGCTCGGTTTGAAAAATAATTATAAATTTCAAGTCCACCTATTAGACTATATGTTTAAAAAAAATTAAAACATTCTATAATTAAATTCAATCGCACATTATATTTCTTAAATAAATATGTTGATATCATTATAAATTGAAAAATTGTATATAAATTGAAGGATTTCTTAAATAAATTCAATCACACATTACTACAAATGTGAGTTTTAATAAAATCAATAAAAAAATGTCTAGATCCCCTCCCCCCCAAAGAAAATATTTTAATGTATTACAAATAAATAAATAATTAAATAGCAGGTCGAACTGGATTGGAAGTATAAATCCCAAACCTAACCCATTAATATTTCTGGTTGAAAATATTAGTCCAGCCCAGTTTTATAGACTAAACAACCTTCCCAAATTTTAGAAAAATAAGGTTGAGTCGGGTGAGATGGACGGACCAACAGGCCGATATCCACCCCTAAGAGCTCATTTGGGATGTGGGTTGGCTTTTTGACTTTTTTAGTTTAGGGCTAAAAAGTTTCATTTGTGATAGATTTTTTGACTTTTTTGACTTTTGTGAAAGAAAAAATAAAATAATTATAGGTTAAATGTAACATTTTATCCTACTTGACTAAAATAACTTATTTTATCTTATATGACTATTTTAATCCCAATGTGACATCCCAAACGAGCACTAATTCAAAAGCTAAGTAGACAAGTTTTTAGATCTCCTTAATTTTTTTTTCAACTGCACTATTTGGCGCCAAAACATTTTCTAATACTTCGAAGAGTCAGTCAGAAATACATGTCCCAATACATTCCACCCTCACTAAAACCCAAGTCCCAAAAACTCACAAAAACATAAATATATGTCACACCACCCTCTATCTATCAATGTACATACCTTCACCTTCCAATAATCACACTCATTTTCGTTCTCACTTTCTTTCTCTCCAAACATGTCTAGCACATCAATCACCCTAGTCGATCTCTTGCTATTCTACACCCTAGAGAGAGTACTCTTCAACAGAATTGTAAACCAATTAGGAAAAAACCCAAACCTTGTCAAGAAAGCCATGGCATTGTGGCTCATGCTAGAAGAAATCGGTTACTACGACTTGACTCGGACCATCCACTCCCTTAACAATCACACTATCGAAGCTGTGTTCGATGAGGCCTTGTCATGCTTGGATTGCATTCAACCCGGTGCAGAAGAGCCCGTTGAGTCTGACAATGATACCTCGGTGTTTTTCAGACTTATATTCGATGAGCCGATGAATCAGAGGTTTTTTTACTACAATAGAGAGTTCATGCATAGGAGGTTTGTGCATATTATGGTGACAGTGTGTGGGAAGATTTTTGGGGAGAGGGAAGCGGTTGAGATCGATGAGTCGAGTGGGAGACTGGTGGCTAAAGGTGGTGGTGGTGGTGAGGTGGCTAGGCAATCAAGACTAAACCCTAATGCAAGTGAGTTTGTACCAGGACAAAGTCATGAGGATACTAGTACTATGTTCTTGACATTCTCTAAGGGATTTGCGCTTACTCCTCAAGAAATCTTCAACTTCTTCACTTTGTATGTATTACTCTCTCCTTTTCTGTCCAAAAATTCTTACTTGATTAAAAACATGCTCTTTTTTTTTTTGATTAAAAACATGCTTAGATAAAAAAAAAAATTTATTCTACTGCTCATCCATGGTTCTAAACTGTTTTAGTGCGACATGTAACAATATCAATCATGGTGTATCTATATCACAGAAGAATCGAGTGTTGTGGTTTTAAATTTCTTAAACTCATGATCAGTATGTTTTTATTGGTCAAGAAGGGTCCATCCGATTTTTTTTTTTTTATTTATTTATTCTACTGCTCATCGATGGTTCTAAACTGTTTTAGTGCGACATGTAACAATGTATCTATATCACAGAAGAATCGAGTGTTGTGGTTTTAAATTTCTTAAACTCATGATCAGTATGTTTTTATTGGTCAAGAAGGGTCCATCCGATTTTTTTTTTTTTTATTTATTGGCACACAACCATACTAAATTTGACTAAATAATATTATACAGACAAAAATAAAATAAAATAATAATGCATGAATGTTGTGTCAAATTAATAATTATTCATTTCAAATCAATTAACCTATGAAAGTGAGTTGTTATTTTAAAATTATCACTCCCACATCATCTATACAAAAATTCTATTTTACAAATCACTTTATATATATGTATATATATGTTGTGTTTTTCTCTTTCTAACATACTCTAAAGGTTTACTTTTTTTATAAAAAAAAAACACATCGACATGCATTTTCTATTTACATATAAAGTTCTACACAAATTCAATTTCAATTATAATAACTAATTTTATATGAATTCTATTTGAGAAATACTTTTTTTTTATATATTTTTTATCATGTATTTAGTTTTGTTGTTATCAGATTTCTTTTATATAATTGATA